TGTCTAGACATAGGCAAAATGCCTGGCAATGTAGCTCTCATTGTGCTTTCCCGACCCTTTACGTACAAAAGCACGTGTCTGCATTGTCACCTCTTTCCTTTCTATTTACTACACATGTACTGTACATGTATGGATATTCCATTCTACAGGTTTCAAAAAAGGAAAGTGGGAAGGGAAAGAGTCCCAAACAAACCACTCAACTATTCACATTAAGGAAGCAAGGAGATGGTTGTTTCGATGAGTTTTGGAGAGTGTGTAAATGAGGTAGAAAATGACAGGCATCTATTAGGTTTAGTGCAAAAAAGGTGCACTTTCTCTCATTTGTATTCTAAGAAATGTGATAACAGCTCTGTGTGCAACATAACTGAATTCCATTTTCTTTCTTTGAATATGGAATAGTCATATAGTGAAATATTTTTTAATGTAAAGTTCCCGACTGATGCTTTTTGTTTTAACTTTAAACTTCGAAAGAAAAATGTTAACGCAATGATGGCTGATAATTTGCCTTTTGTATCATTATGAAAAATCACACTGATTGGGCTGTGGATTTTGTTTTGTTTTTCAAATCTTTTTGAAAAGTCTTGTTTTGCAAATATCTAGCAATCAGGAAAACCTGGATGGTGTTCATCACAAATGGAAAGTCACCATTATGTAGGTTTTGTACAGACCTCTTATAAGCTATGATTTTAAAAGAATAACATGTCAGCTTTTTTACAAGTGGGAACTTTTCTCAATACCTGGGAAAGGGGAGAGGGAATATCTTTTCACTTTAATTTAGAAGGTGGGATAAGTTAGCAATTTCTACCAATGGGAAAATGGCCCCAGCATCTTTTGCAATGCTAAGTTGCAAGACAAACAATAGCCTTGTTCCAGATAAAATGGTACAAGCCATAAATAAATAAAATTAGCCAGGCTCAGGAATTCTGGGAGTTGAAGTCCACAAGTCATAAAGGGCCATCTGTTTTAGAGTTTTAAAACCTTTTCCATTATGCAGGATGCATAAAGATAGTGAGAAAACAGTTTTTCCAGAATTTGTACATGAAAAAACGGTAAAATAATACATTTAAGAAAATATATAAGAATTAGATTTTGATAAAATAGGCATGAAAAATATAATAAATATATTCAGAATATCTGAATGAATGACCAAACCCTCATATTTTTCTATTTACTGTTCCAACTTCAGAATTTTTACAAAAGAGGCAATGTTTAAGATGATATTGCACTTTAAAAATGAGGTGTAGGGATAAGACCTTCTTCCAGGTCATTTTTGGAATGCCCTGCCTCCCTATGGAATGTGCCACCTAGGAAGCTTCATTTGGCCATGAATTAACTGTTATAATTACTATCAATCAAGTTGATTTTTCCTTTACTACTTCATTTTGATGTAAAAATAATTTGATTTTGAAATTTCTTTCAAAGTATATTTATGAAGTGTGTGTGCGTGCACACACGCATACATTGTAATACCAAGAACAAAATGTTCACTTAATTACAAGCTGACTGAAGATGAAGAAAGGTAGATGAATGTCATGTCTTTTATTGAACAATCATCATTCCAGCAGTCTATAGCCTCTCTGGCTTAGAGAGGCTATACATAATTCATATGTATCTCATGGAAAGATTATGGGGAAACTCTTCCCATTACAGGATATGTTTTTTCCCAATCGGAATGTGCAATAAGCCAAGAAGTCTTCAGATTGATGGAAGGGTGGACAACATAAAACATCTCTAGCTCAGCATCTTCTTCCTCTTTCCAATTAAAAAATGAAATAAGCACAAAAACCATGCTAAGAGAATTCTCAAGCACTCCAAAACAACTTCTTTCTTAGGGAAAAAAAACCCAGAGAGAATGTGCAAAGCAGGTTTTGCTATGGAATTGCTTAAACCATCTTTGCAAGAAATAATTGGGCTAAATTGGGATATTATGTACCAGTGTACATAACAATTTACTTAACAGTATAATAGTTTAATACATTATTAAATTGTTGTTCTACTTAAAAGTGGTTTTGCATTGACATTAATGTTTGTCTATAGTGGTCTTGCAAGAACATGTATTGTATCCTGTCTGAGGAAGAAATATACATATAAATGAATAAATAATAGGTCTGCTTTCTTTTTCCAATAGGAGTAACAGACCTGTCTGTCTCGGGCAAAACTCTTGTTTAACTACTCATAGCGAAAAGCAACACATCTTTACAAGACGCTTACATGGTAAAATGCTGAGCAACAGATTTTCTTAGAAACCAAGTGCAGATTCTAAGAGCAGATAGAGAAAATGCATTTAAGACAATGGTCTGTTTTCTTAATAATCCGAACAAAGGTCAGGGGAGAGAAATGCCAATCAAGAAGTTGATGCTGAATGTTAAAGAAATGCTTATAGTTGTTTCCGAATGAATGAGGTCAGCTGTAAATGTGAAAACAATTTATTTTATTTATTATTTTATTTATTGTATTATTCAAATTTCTATACCGCCCTTCTCCTTTCGGACTCAGGGCGGTGAACAGCCAAAATAAAACATTTATACATAAAGTACGATTAAAAATAGATTTAAAATAATTAAATTTGGCCCATAGTTTAAAATTTATCAATTTAAAATCCATATCAAAATTTAAAATCAACCATAAAATCATAAAATCAAGAGAGACCGGCTAACTGAAAGAGATTTATAATTTATAATTTATAAACAAAGCTTCCTATTATACAGAGTCCATAGAGCTACAAATGATTTTTATTTTTATTTTTTTATGTACTGCCATTATGTTTAATCATTCTAAGGTCACCACAAATGTAAAGCCAAGGCCAAAAGCCATCAGCCTTCAAAAAGAAAGAAAGGAAATGTAACAAAGGCAGTGTGTCGTTGTCTATTCCAATTTAATTAATCCAAGGAAGACAAAAAGAACTGGGCAGATCCCAGGAGACTGTCTTTTACCCGGAAATCCATTCAACCTAATTTCAGCAGTGTAAGGCAGTAGAAGCACTTGGAGCGGAGCCTATAAACCATTAACATATAATGCGGTTGAAGTCAATTGAGAAAGCTGCCCTTTCTGGAAACAAAATTGCCCATCTTGGTTTTCAAACACCCACATTTATATTCATAGCTGTGATTCATTTACTAATAAATGCTTATCTACAATAACCTTGTCTTTCAAAAGAACCACATAGTGTGGAAGTAGTAGACATTCTCAAGAAACTGTGCTAGTTTATATCTACTCAAGGTCTGCTCTATACAGCAGCCCACATATGTTGAAGAGAGAGTATCAGCATTTAGAATTTACCTTTAAATTTTATATATTTCAAAGCATGACAGCTTTATGGAACTTTACTTATGCTATGCTTAATACAGTTTTGATAGTGTTCCAAGTATAGATGTCTCTACAATTAGAAACAATAGGCAGAAATGTTCACTTAAAATAAATGTAGATTGCTGAGATATTTATGAGTAAATGAGTAAAACAATAAAGGAACAGAAACAAAATTCCTTGTAATTTATTTACAGACAGAGCTTCATATATTACAATTGTATATTAAGCAATTCAGAATAGATGTTTTTGGGATGTCTATGATGGAACATAATTTCAAATAGTTTTTATAGGTTAGTATCATATTCTATTATTTCCAAAGTGAAATTTAGGAAGGTTAAATTTACCAAAAATATAAAAATTAAAAAACTTGACTTTATATGCTCCAAATGGATTTCATATAGAATTTAAGATAATTTAGCTGAGCTGGAACAAATAAACTCCCTTAGTTCGAAGATTTTTTTCCCAATTCAAATGCATTTGAACTGATAAGATTATTCTAATTCAGAATACATTTTCCAGGTTATTTTTCTCCTTATTTTTCTTATATTTTCTCCAGAAAATTGAATGCTAATTGAAGAATTTATTTGAAAGGGCCAGCTTCTTGTTCCTTTGAATTTTAATAGCTGCAATGTAATTAATTTAGTATAAAAATTATCCTGGTTTCATGGTCTTTTGCAAAACACATAAGCATAAAAGAGAACAACTGAATTTGATTTATCTGAGACACTTCATTAGTCCATCTAGCCCAGTATTCCAACATTGACTGGAAGCATCTGTGCAGGAATCCAGATATCTGGGAGTTTTACCTTTTCTAAATCCTTGTTCTCATCCATCATATTGATAACTCTTGAAAAGAAATGCAAGATAATTTCTCTGGATGCAATAATTTACAGATATGTGGCTCTTTGTATGGGAAAAAAAGAGCGGGAAAAGAGCCAATCACGCAAGGTAAAATGGAACTTAAATACCAATGGTGAAAATTCCAGAGCTCAGGTAACTTTTCAGATTCCACATAACAATGGGGTTCAACAGCTTCCATTAGTTTCAAGCAGGGGTGAAATGCTCCGGTTCGGACCAGATCGGGCAATCCAGTAGTGATTGTGGCAGGTGGTTGGAGAACCGGTAGCGATGGCGGCACGAGGCTCCACCCATCTGCCTGGGTGTCATTACTTCCTAGTTTTAACCAGGAAGTAATGTGTTTTTTACCCTCTGCACATGCGCAGAAGGTTTTGCGCATGCGCAGAGGCTCTGCGCATGAATGTGATGTGCGCACAGGGCACATGCACTTCCAAACCAGTAAGGAAGATAAGTAGATTTCACCCCTGGTTTCAAGGTTGCATCCTTTTACAGGCGATGTCGTGACTGCATTTGAAAGTTAGGTACTGCAAAGATTGAGAGTTATATTAAGCTTCCTGAATGAAAGAAATGATACCTCGATCGTGACCAAGATTTCATACTCCCACTTTGTCCTTCAAACCCTTTCTCCACTCACCCAACATACAAAAAAATACCCGCGATTTGTCTTTGATTCAGTTTAGTGATCACAAAAATGATGCTGTTAAGACTATGTACAGCCCTGGGTCATCTTTTATTTTGCACTCTGTGAAAAGTTTTCAATTTTTTTTTTTTATAATGAAACTACCAAATTCGGTTCATACACTTCCTTGACAATTTTATTTATTTATACTTATTAGATGCTGTAGAAGAAACCAAACCTTCTGAAAGTGCCCTGCAGGAAGAAGTGAAAGAAGAGGAGAGCAAGGCGGACCAAGAAAATGCCTGAACCTTAAGAAATGACTTCCTCTTGCCCTTCCCCCCCTCCTTTTTCCTGTATCTTCCCTCCCTTCCTGGTTTCAATCTTCTCCCTCTTTCACCTGTAAATCTGTCTGTCCTCTTTCTCCCTTTCTACCCCTTCCACCTCTATTCTCTCTGTGTGGCAAACATTTAAAGAAAAAAAAAAAGCAGGAAAAATCCCAGTCAAACAGTGTGGCTTAAACATTTTGTTTCTTGGTGTTGTTATGGCGAGTTTTTTGGTAATGATGATTCAATCATTTTGGGAAAATTCTTGCACTGTATCAGAATTGTTTGATCTGCGCGTGTGTGTGTGTTTGTCTGCCCACCACGAGTGCGCTCTTTCTCTCTCTCTCTTGCCTCCCCTTTTCTCTATTCCAAGTGTGTGTGCAATGTTATGTTCCTCTGAGGAGTCCAAACCTATTGAGTGAGTTAAAAGAGAGGGAAAAAAAAGAACAAACATTTTTCTTTTCTCCCCATTTCAATGTGATGATGGAATGAACTATAGGAGACACAACAAACAAAGCAAAAAAGAGAAAAGGGAAAAACACAGAATGAGAATACAAGCCCAGTTTGTTTAATAAAATAAAATAAAGCAAATGTGCCAATTAGCGTAACTTGTGACTCCCGGCTCCTTTTTCAAATTGACAAATGATAATAAAGGAGAAGAATTATGATGATGTCACTGTGATGCATTTCTGTACCATCTCTTCCTTCTCCCCCACCACATTCTAATATATTTGATGAATAAAATGCTTTACAGAGGTTTTTAAGGCAACAGCTGGAGCCAATTATCCTATTACATATGTATAAACCGTGGTATAGGGTAGTTTTTGTGAAAGTGTGAACCTAGGAAAGGCTACAACAGCTCTCGATCAGATAAATACATATTTTTGTTTGTAGTAGGAAAAGTATTGTACATTATTGCAGGAAGAATATATTTGTGTTTTGAGATACAGAACTATTTATGTAAAATGTGTCACAACAGGAGGAAGCTATTACTTAATTGAAAAGAAGTTTGTGCCAACATTACCCATCTCCCTTTTCTAATGTTTATTTGGGATAATTTGATTTGTTCATCAAATCTTATTTGAAGAGATGGATAGCATACTTCAATGTATGTTACTATAGAATAGAGTCTTATTTCTTTCTATGCTAGGTAAGAAGATTGGCAGACTAATTCTATACTGATGCCAAGAAAACAACATAGACATGTCCATGAAGTTATGAAGAGTTAAACTGGACTTGAAAGAGACATTACATTTTTAAGCTATGTATATTTAAGATCACACCACACATGGATGATGATTTGTGTATAGCCTAAATTTTGCTCCCTATTTTCAGATAAGGATTGGGAGAAAGACTCTTAAAGAGTACAGGATTTATAGGGCGTAGCAAGATATCCGTACAGAAGAATACTTGTGGTAATTATATGTATTCCTGAACTATTTTCTTTTCTGCTTGTTAACTCAAAGATACTTCATATATTTTACAATGACCTTATTTTGAATTGATAGCCCTGATATATAGATTACTCCTTAGTGGGTCTCCACTACTACTGTGAACTTCTGTATTATAGATTGTTAGAGTCTCAATTTCAATACATTGGATAAATTACTCAAGTTGACTAGAGGGCCAAACTATAGTAGCCCTCTAGATATTATTATATTCAAAATCCCATCTGTTCCATTCATTATAGCCAATGATCAAGGGAAATGGGAATTGTAGTTTAGTATCAGGAGGAGCCATAGATCACTTAAGAAAACCAAGAGCCAGTAAGTGATTATATTTCTACAGGTATATAAGCTAGCACTAATGATGTTATCTACTTTGGATCTGCAAGAAAACAAGCAAGCTCAGAGAACACTAAGGACCTCTCATTCCATAAGTATCTCCTAATTCCATTTCACTTAATTATGATTGTTGGGCATTTATATACATGCAGCTTTTGGTGCTGCTTGAAATATTTCTTGCAATGCAATTCAAGGCTGGCAGTCCAAGCCCTTCCTCTGGAATCAACAACTTCTGTTCACCTATTAACTGATGTATGTATACTGCTATCTCTTCGAATCCAATTTCAAGAAGAAAACAATTAGAACTATTTCAAGTAGCTTATGAGATCTAATGAACATACAAGTCATAATATTCAAATGTCACTCATGCTGGTTTATTTTTATTATGCTACATGGCTTTTACAAAATATCCAAATGACTACTAAGTGATAATACAATTAGTTTAATTTAATGCTGATTGGGTTAAAGATGCTCTACAAATGGGATCACTCATTTGTGTAAGGGCATTTTGTAAGTATCAAGATATAGAAGGCTTCCGTGTCTGACTCCCAATTTCCTACAATCAAAAATTTGGTTGATGCCTTTATGCATCAACCAAATGCATAAAGGCATCAATGAATAAAAGAGGTACACATTTATGCATGACTATGTGTTAAAAAGAGAAATAAGTTATATTTACTTGATATATTTGGAGTAGAAAGAGTAGAAAAGGAAAAAGAAAACAGATAAGCTCCATGGAAACTTTTTAAAAGCTGGGGTGGGGAGGAGAAACATTAGGAAAAATTTTGCAGGGCAGAATGCGGCCACCAGGAATTAAACACAAATCTAAAGGTAACTTTACATATGTTCCTGAAGGTATACATTGCCCTCCACTGGAGGATGTTATGTTACAAGAATGAGAAAAGGAAAACTTTCATCAGGAATTGAAACATGAGCTTCTTTGAAAAATGCAATGATTGATTAAACTCATTGGTCCCTACAGATTAAAATCTTAGTCTAGCTGTTGAAAACATTTCCAGTGAATTAAGACATTTATCATGGTAGAATATCTTCTATTAAAGCTTTGCTATATTCACTGTAAATGTCGTGTCACAAACACTAATCAAAATCAAGCTCTGGGGATATGTTCAAAAATAAAATAAAATAAAATAAACTGTTTTTCTAGTAAGCTGTAAATTCTCAAAATGAGATCCTTATTTGCAAGTAGCAACTATCTAGTTGAGGACTATCACTTCTTACACAATGAAGAATCTTTTACAAAATCTAACATTTTTGTCAGAATTCATTATTGAACATGCAGCAGGACCAGCTTTTCTTATCTGATGAAACCTAACAGCCTCAGGCCTGGTTTTCTATCTGGTGCCTGCCATTCTTTTTATTAGAATGGAGAGCAAACAGTTTAATTGTATTGCCGGGAAACCATTTTTGAGGTTTCTTCTGTAAAAGAGCTCTTTAAATGGTCATAAATCCTCCAGGTAGTGGCCTTTTATTGGGCTGATTAATGTGACCAGATTGTTTCCCAGCCTTTTAATAGGTCTCATTCTCAATAATGATGGGAACAATAGCCCCTGTGATCCAAAGTAATTGCATTATACAAACACCACATTTGATATGATAGGAGATAAACTGGTAAGCTCCATAACTGAAACATCAAAGAGGAGATGGTATCAGAAGAAAAAAATTGTCCAGGCTTTGGAAGGAAACACACTTGTAAGGCCATATCTCAAGCACTGTTGACAGCATTTTTTAAATGGGATACTGTTTTAGTTGGGACTAAATGTGATCCCTTAGTCATCTTATTTTGGCCATCTTGTTATGACTATTGAAAACTGTCTACACATATTACAATTCTGTTTATTACAGTCATAGACCAGAGACCAGAAGAAATAAAAACACTAAATATACAATTAAAAAATCTAAAATAAAATAACAGATAAAATCTATGATAAAATCCAGTCTGCCAATTACATATGGTCTAATTATACTAAAATTACAATCCATAAACTGTGTGGTCCATTCAGAGTTGGGTTTCAGCAGGTTCTGACCAGTTCTGGAGAACTGGTAGTGGAAATTTTGAGTAGTTCAGAGAACTGGTAGTAAAAATTCTGACTGGCCCTGCCCCCATCTATTCTCTGTCTCCCAAGTCTCAGCTGATTGGGAGGAAATGGAGATTTTGCAGTATCCTTCCCCTGCCACGCCCACCAAGCCATGCCATGCCCACCAAGTCACACCCACAGAACCAGTAGTAAAAATTTTTGAAACCCATCACTGGGCCAATTGTCAGTTTAATACTAAAAGTGAAAGGAATAAGCAGTGCAATGGGTTCTTTACAGTTGTTGTAAAAAATAGCTATGGTGAATTAGACATGTCTTTCAGACGAATCCCCAGTGCTGCTGCGCAGAATCTAGCCACCTGCGCTGTAGTTATGGACTGTTCATCCTTAAGCAGCCACTGGAGATAAGCAGTGTTGGAATGGACAGGATGCCTAGCGATTATTGGAAGGATATGTTTTTTTCCAATCTCTCTGTAAAAGGAACATCGAAGGAGTACGTGACCAACAGTGTCCACCTCTCCTGAGCCACAGGAACAGAGTATTTCAGTCAATGGCATCTTTTTATACTTACCGTACAGGACGGCTGATGGAAGCTCATAGCATGGTATGAGCGAAAATGCTTTCCAATGGTTTGCTGACTCAGACTGGCTAAAATAGCTGGCAGGAGTAGTAACATGTCTAATGGCGTCTGGAGTCAGAAACAATGGAGCTTTCCCTAAGTCCGTTTGCCTTTTGATGCCCTCTACCCTTTGTCGCAAAGTTTGTTTTGCTTGGTCATAGTCCAACTTGAGTATTGAGGCTGGGGAGAAGCCTAATTTGGCAAAGTTAGACTCGACAGCCTTGATCCATGATGACGAGAATTTGTCTTGGAGAATTAATGGAGCAAGGCCTTGCCGAAAAAAGATAAGCTTTAGCCAGAGGTTTAAAGACGCTGTACAGATTCTTGCTTCGATTTTTGTCAATCCTGTCTCCAGGCACAGACGTGAATTTGTGACACAACCCGGCATCTGGAGAATTGCTCTAATAAATTTGGATTGAACTTTTTCCAATGGTGTGAAACACGAAGCTGGGGCTCCAAGCAAGGTCCCATAAAAAAAGCTGTGATAGCAACTTGGCCAGAAATAGTTTAATTGCAGCAGGAACATAATATTGTCCCTTTGTGCGGAAAAATTTAAGGATGGTGCTCGAATGTCATTTAAATTTGAAAATTTATGAAATATAAAATGCAATCTCCAAAATACCCATATCACTGAAAGTGCAAATTATAGTGCAAATTATAGATGTTATGTAAAATAATTTTATTTTTAATTACTTTAAAATTATTAAAAATAAAAATGTTCCCTTCTCTTCCAAATACAGATATGGGACAAGATAAGGGGCTCTGTTAAATTAAAAATAGAATTATGCAATCATAGAAGATATTGTAAGGGTAAGAGAGGGTCTTAAAAGTCCAAAGTTTTCTCCAAAGTTTGGTAATCTATTACTACACCACCCTGACAATAGGACCATCATTTTTAAAAGTATCCCTAGTAAAGGAGAGTCAACCACTTCTCAAGGCATTCTGTCTATTGTTGAACATTTCCTAGTGTCCAATAGAATCTACCTGCTTATAATTTAAACCAGTGGTGGATTGCCCCCGGTTTGGACCAGTTCACAAGAACCGGTAGTAAAACTGGCGGGAGGCTCCATACACTGACATCATCAGGAAGTTTCTGTGCATGTGCAGAACCTTCTGCACATGTGCAAAAGTGCGCACACGAGCGAGCAAAGCGAGCGAGCATGCACGGTCCCATTGTGAACTGGTAGTAAAGTTAAGTAGAACCCACGCTTGATT